TTTATAAAGGTGGAAGTAGAATTCTCCAGCTGTTTAAAGGTTATGTGCCCTTCATTAAAACGTTATTGAATAAATAATAAACAATTTTACAAAAATATACTAAAATACGACGAAAATGGTAATTTTAGTGGCAGTGCTCCAGCAAGGGTAAGGTCTAGAAGAGTCCTGGTGATCGGTTAACCCCCTACTGCTACTGAAGGACACCCAGCCTAAAACAATTGAGAAAAGCCAAGATTAAGGGCAATGTTGTGCAACTGACAACCCCTATATATTATTGGCTGCATTTTAGTAATTTATTGAGGGTTACACGGTTATCCTGCTGTGCATGGTAGAAGTTAGCCTAAATACTCACGACAGCTACCAGCCTATCCATGGAAATTGATTCATGCCCAGTTAACGATTAATTTCTAAGAACATTAAAAAGCAACAACAGTCAGAGAGTTAGGCAATCGTTAGAAAACTACTTGAATCAGCAGGTCAATGGAAGAAATTATAAAAAGTGCTTACCCTATGAGACCTGTGATACTCCCACATCTTGTTAAAGATAGCGACTTTTGAACTCTAGAATTACAAGTTAATGTAAGAATCAACAGATCGCGCGGCATACCATGCTTTTCAATTGGTCGGTGTATAGCTTCTCAAGCATGTACACAGTAAGAAACTCCTCCAAACTGAAACCCTGTTCTAGAAAAATCTTTACAAAATCGTGCCGGTCGCTCATCAAGGCCTGATACATGTAGTCGTTCAGGTGGCCTTTCTAAAAGTTGGCATAGTTAGATGAGGAATCGAAGTCAATATCTAACCTTCCAGCGTTTATTCTCCAGGAAGATTTTCTCTCTCGCGATATCCGCACGATTCAATGTCAGCGTAATCTCCAACTGCTCGAGGTTCAGTTGATCGGGTGGAGTCGTTGTTCCAGCTAAAACAGACACACTAATTCTCAAGGAGTAATCATAGAAACAAAATAATTACACGAAGAAATATTAGAATTGCTGGTCTGTACCATTACAACAAAGTCACTATGTTAAACTGACAAGCCCTGCTGTAAATCTGGTTTACATAAACTTAAAAAGAAATCCCTTAGAGCTTTTTTCTCAGTGCTTCCATTGAGATCCGCCTTTATTAAAATCGAAGGACATCAGAAAGTATGAAAGCTGGACTTTTTCCAAAATAACAGAATGTGAATTAAAATTTGGGAAATCTCTGGAACTCAAATTGTTTAAAATTTCCTTGACAACATTTGTCTAAGCATTTACTACATGACAGGATATATAAATGTGTTGCAGTATACTTCAACAACGTGATTTGTTGTAGAAAGCATCACGAAAACTACCATCTTAACTTGTTGTTTCGAGAATTGCGGTTCTCATTCCTTGCTTTAAAAGGTTTAATGACCTTTTAGAAAGCGAGTTAGTTGAACGAAACAGAACGGGGCTACTGCATAAAATAAGAAAGCAACTAAACCCTTCTGACAGTTTTTTTATGTAGAGGATGACTTAAAGTGGACCTCCTCAACCAAAATGGGGATTCTTTGATGTTTTTAACTGTCCCTTGAATTTATCATCAAAGATTAAGAAAATTTAATTGACCCAATTGTGAAAAAACTCGCGGCGTCCGCGGGAGTCGATCCCACTGTTCCGTATTGTTGGATTCCATACGAGCAAAAAAGTTGGGTGGATAAAATCGACCCGAGTGTGATTAAATTCACAGCGCACGGCGTGGCATCGTAGCTCAATTGGTAAAGCGTTGGCTGCGTTAAGGCCTTCCCCGCTTTGCGGGTTTGACCCCCGCCGACGCCGCGAGTTTTTTCACAATGAGGTCCACTAAATTAAGCAAATCTGCCCAAAACTCCCCAAATGATGAAGAAAATAACACAGTTCGGCCTGATAGCGGAAGTAACTTTCGGCTCCTGGACGCCAGATCGATTCGCCTGCTGGCTCAATCGTTGTTCTAATATCCTGCTTGCTACATGTGGCTCGAACCTCGAAGAAACCATTGGGTAAAAACCACCCAGCGGCAACTAGTAACCTCTTGTAGAGAATATGTGTGTGGTCACTACACAGAACACGGGAACAGTAACAGCTGGCAATACATGTGGTTTTGCGCCAACTTCCGGCTAAATTAGGGTTCGGTTTAAGGTCAGGGTCACGTTTAGAGTTAGATTTAGGGTAATATTTGGAATCGAGGTCAGG